AATATATTATATTACTTGCAAATATATTATATTATTTATAAAATATATTATATTATTTACAAATATATTATATTATTTACAAATATATTATATTATTTATAAAATATATTATATTACTTACAAATATATTATATTATTTATAAAATATATTATATTACTTACAAATATATTATATTATTTATAAAATATATTACTATTATAATATATTATTTATAAAAATATAGATGTTTATGCACAAAACAAGATTCACGTGCTTGTAAAAAAACAAAAAGTGATATATTGGAGAGTTCACAGGAAAAAAAGAGGAGTTTTCACCTAGACAAAATAGACAAAGAATAATAAAACATTAAATAAAACAATACACCTTTAGAAAGTGAGGCAGGAGGAGATGGTATTATTAGCACGAAGCTACACAATAGGCTATCTACGCTCTTTCCATCGGGAGGATCAAACCCCGGATTTTACCGTAAAGTTATCGTTGACCCACCGAGGGATCAGGCAGAAGGATTATTAGAGAGAGAAAAAAGGGGGTGAGACATGTATAATAGTAATTTCAAGCTCGTAAGAGATAATCAGTACAAATAAAAGGACAATAAGTAAGACAACAGAAACTGAGAAAAGAAGCAAAAGATGGACGCAGAAGAAAAATGATATGAGAAGAAACATGATAAAGATTGTAAACAAGGAAAAAAGATGACTTGGAATTTAGAAAATAGAGTATCTAATTATAATTAATGCTGAAGGGATGGGGATAATGTGGTATTAAATGTGTTTATAAAACCTGAACAAACGCTCCAAATCTATGAATATATTCTCCACGCGTGATGCCAAGAGAAGCTGTAGGTCAGGGTAATAGAGAGAGAGAGAGGGGAGGAAGGTTAGTTTATACACTGTATTGGAAGCGTGGTTTCAGAGAAGCTAAATACTGATAGATTACGTAAACGTTATAGTCAGCGGCTGGGTTCAAGACTGCACCCCCTGCTGTGGGTGACGGCGATTATGACTTGCCAAAGAAAAAGTTGACTGCAAAGTGAATAAAGGCTATGTGTTTGCTTGTCTGCTTTTAGGCTCTAAATCCATCACATACCAGCGAAACGATATTATCTTCAGGTTATGTTTCTCTATTTAGAAATGTAATGTGTTTTTTCGAACGAAATGATGCCCAAAATAATCTGTACCTACCATTTTACGAACTAAATTAGCGCCTGTGTTTTTCCATAAAATAAGCCAGCACAAGCATTTATCCACGCATATTGTATCATATTTCATTGGTTGGAGGGTTTTAGTATCGCATGTCAATGCCAAAAAGACTCGAGATGTAAAGAAATCCACCATATCACTGCACGAGGGAAAAACAAAACTTATTTCCGTAGGTAATTTCGAACTTTATGTACATCTTGTCGGGGGGGGGGGATAAAAATAGAACATATTCCTGTAAGTAACGTCGAACTCGAGATCCATCATATAGCTACACGAAAGGAAGCTAAAACAGAAACTATTCCTGTAAGTAACTTCGAACTTGAGGTCCATCATATAGCTACACGAAAGGAAGCTAAAACAGAAATTATTCCTGTAAGTAACTTCGAACTTGAGATCCATCATATAGCTACACAAAAGGAAGCTAAAACAGAAACTATTCCTGTAACTAACTTCGAACTTGAGATCCATCATATAGCTACATGAAAGGAAGCTAAAACAGAAACTATTCCTGTAAGTAACGTCGAACTTGAGATCCATCATATAGCTACATGAAAGGAAGCTAAAACAGAAACTATTCCTGTAAGTAACTTCGAACTTGAGATCCATCATATAGCTACATAAAGGAAGCTAAAACAGAAACCATTCCTGTAAGTAACTTCTAACTTGAAATCCATCATATAGCTACACGAAAGGAAGCTAAAACAGAAACTATTCTTGTAAGTAACTTCGAACTTGAGATCCATCATATAGCTACACGAAAGGAAGCTAAAACAGAAACTATTCTTGTAAGTAACTTCGAACTTGAGATCCATCATATAGCTACACAACAGAAGATACAAAATGATATTAATACTTACATTTCACAAAGCCCAAACGCGTCAGTTTGTATTTTAAAATAATTTTGACTTTTAATAAATTTATGTGCTTATGTCTAATATTTTAGTACACGAAGTAGTTAAAGTTTAACGAATAGGATAAGTTCATTAAATGTATTCCTTTATGTAATTTATACACTTCTGTGATAATTTCCAATTAACATGGTGGTCTGTAAAGTTTGACCAGATTCATCATTTTATGTCCGAACTACACGTATCATTTTTATTTTCTATTTAATGTTATGTTACGTATCCAGTAAAACAGGTCTTTACCTACTAAAACACTGTCACTCAGCAATTCGATCACGTCAAGAAACAAATCACAGATCATGACATATCAATTAATAACTTTGTCAACATTACATTCAATCCACAGACCGTATTCCCAAGTATTTTGTTCCCATTCTGTGCTATTTTATGTATATACGCATTTGTTTTGTTGTACATTCCTGATAGAGGAATAAGTACATTCCTGAAGGTTTGACTCATGTGAAAAAAACGTTCTTTGTCATAATCACCTTTCTTGTTTTCATTAATATATTTCATTTTTCCCTAAAAAATGGATTATTTTTGTGTGGCTATTAATCTTCTGTTGGTATCGTTCTCTAGTGGAAGCTTGAAATATGAACTTAGCTTAAGAGAGTCTAGGTTATGATAAAAAAATTCAGCGCAATTATTAATACAATGTAAAGCACTTATAATGAGTACAAGATTAAGTTAGTACGTTATAGCATTATGTCATGCACGTAGATGTTTTTTATCTAAAAATTTATAGGAATATCTATAAAGGGAACAGTCTACTTCGTAACTACATTATTGATAGTCCACTTCGTAACTACATTATTGGTAGTCCACTTCGTAACTACATTATTGATAGTCTACTTCGTAACTACATTATTGGTAGTCCACTTCGTAACTACATTATTGTTAGTCCACTTCGTAACTACATTATTGGTAGTCTATTTCGTAACTACATTATTGGTTTTTGTTCATGCGCAAAAACACCTGTTGGTACCCAGTGACTCAGACAAAAAGAAATCCTTTTATCTAAAACAGTTTTTATTTCTACAGTCGTCTGAGATACGATTTTTTAAAACCTAATCTCTAAAATGGACAGAATATTCAGACCATCAGTTTGTTTTAGTAAAGCTATGTGTAAACCACTGAAAAAAAAATATCCGATTAGTAACTGCAGGCAGTGTCCAACAAGAAAGTAAAGAAAGCGACACTGAGTGCCGAATTATTGGATATCTGAAGTTGTAAAATTAAAGAATCATTCACTGTTAATCTACCATTAGTAATATATATTTTTATGTATAACAAAAAGCTCGATTTCAGCTTTTACTACTGAAATATTTTCGCTTTAACGTCAGGTGCATCTAAAGTTATAAACTAAATAAATAGACGACAATCGGTTTTTGTGATAATTTATGTTTATTGTCTGAGATCATTATAGAAAAATAGTGAAATCAAACTATTAATGATTTTATTGTATTATATCAATTCCTTAGTTTATTAGTGTACTAAAATGTAGTGTAGTCACTGGTGCCACAGATTCTCGAGTAAGAAAGATATCGGCCTATTACAATACAATAGTTACTACAAGACTCATAATAACCTTGTATAGCTAACAATTTTAACAGTGTTTTCGAATGGCTGGGCTCATATTTTGTAAAGTTTTACTTAAAAAAGGTGATGTTTATACTGTTACAACAGCGGAAGTCACGTGACGCTGGTAACACGTCATGAGTTTCTAGAAGATTCATGACTTTTCCTGGCAATTCTAGTCTTTTCTAGGCGCCCTCTATTTTAGTATATAAGCCCGGCAAACAAGGTGGAGATATAATTGCAGATAGACAGATAATTGAGTCAAGCGAGCGGTAGTGACCGTAAGTATAGTACGTGAATCGTTGTGAATTATAGCGTGTGTTTATGTTAAAGTGACTGTGGAAATTCTTTATATTGCAAAGTTGTATTGAGAAAGAATAAACTACTTTTATTTAAGAAAGGACTTGTATCGCTGAAGTTCCTCGGGAAGAATTTATACCGGAAATTAACAAACGACCAGAGACGTAACAATACAGTTTTTAAACACCCAACTCTCAGCAAGAACCCTTACAAGTCACTGGCTTCCAAAACAGGAAAACTTGAGTATTGAAATACCATTTATGTTACCAGATGAATTCGGTTATTTTTAGACACAGATAATACAGTAGTCGAGAGGAATATATCAGATTAGATATATATTTATATAAAATGTTTACAGATCCTTAAAATGCAGTTTTCCTCGTTCAAATAATGATGCTTACATTAAGTTAAAAAAGATATTGACATTCTCAAGCATCTTTATATATAACACACTGACTCCTCAAACATGTTTGTACCAAATAACTGACTCCTCAAACATCTTTATATTATTACACTAACTCATCAAGTATGTTTTTATTAACATACTGGAATCCTCAAACATCTTTATATTAACACGCTAAACTCCTTACTTGAGTACATTATAATTTATAAGTATGCCTAAACTGAGACATGCTTTAGGGAGGCAAACAACAACCTTACAAGTGTATATGTATAGCTTTATAAATGCTAATTTTGATTCTATCAACCGTTGTTATGAGTGAACTAATTTAACACACACTTTAATAACAGCGTGGTTGTTTTTCAGAATATTTTGATATAGCTGGTACTCACCTGTTTTACCAGCCTGCTTACTTCCAAGTACCACAACATGTACTGACATGAAGTTTGTCATCTCCTAGTCTTCACAAGTTAGAAGTTAGTGTTCATTACACGCTCCGTTGTAGAATTATATGGAATTGAATTCTTAGGTTATTCGTTATGTAACGATTCGAAGAATATGAACTACGTTACACACAAACTATTGTATATAACAACACCGAGAATATATCGCTTCCCAACAGTTCTGACAATACCAACGTGTTTATAGACACATCACGTAACAATTTTGATACAGTCTTTCTAATAGTAGCTCCGGTTTTTCTATACACACACACAAATGTATGTACAAACAGGAAAGATATTATTCATAACAGAGTCATATTCTACGTCCACTGTTGCTTGCTGGTAGCTGCTGATAACGTGGTAGTTACTTGATCTCAGCTGCTTGTCTCAAGCGGTTTTTGAACTGTTAAGGGCTCTGTTAATGAAACCATGCGTGAGCCTCAGTGTTACGTGAACTGAATCACTGCATTAATTCCACGAAGTCTTGAGTCGAAACAAATCTCGCGGTGCTCACGTGCCAGTTTCCAACGTGACGTAATGCTCTATCAGGGAAAAGCACAATGTGGTTTATATTTAGCGCCTCTTGTGGCTAATACCACATTCACAAAAGTTACAACCCAGTCTGTATAGACCCGTGGTTCTTGCTCCTCTTAGCTCATTACTAGCTTGCAAGAACAATGGAGGAAGATTAAAGTGTCTTGTGAATATATACACAGGACATCATATAACTTCTAAAGACAGATCGACCCACAATAAAATATATAGTATTTGGTATTATCAAATTGAATGGCACCTTCAGTGGCACATGGGCTAAGTATCCCAAGGGGTTCAGGACTAGCCGTCTCTAATTAAAGACTGTTAATCAGAGTGAGACCAACCATTCAGCAGTACCCACCGCCCATTCTTCGGTTATTTTTAACCAACAACGTTAGACTGATTGCCACAGTTATAGTTATAGCTAAGAGTGCGGAATGTGTGTTCTAAGGCATATCGCGACTCAAACCTCGGCTCTTCCGATTCGCAGCTCTATGAGCTAAACACTAGGGTACGCTCGGCTTCCCAAAATGAAGTATCTCATGGACTATTTCCGTCATATCAACAGGCACAAATGCGTGTACTGAAAAACTAACCACAACTGAAAACTATATTTTTCGTGATGTGAAACGACCAGATGTGTGTTTTGTGTGGGTGGGTGTTGTGAAAATTAAATATTTGCAAATCTCACAACCCACTGCCAACTACTGGGCTACTCTTGTCAGACCGATTAGTGGGATATGACCGTTTCTCTTCTAACCCGCACATAGCCCCAAAGTATGGAGTACGATTATTTCTCATTTTCGCGATAAAGGGAAGCGAACAACGGAGCCTCAGGTCCACAGCCCGACACGCTAATCATTGGGCCGTGAATTCAAGTAAAACACACGTTTTCTGTATCGTGATATCAAAACGTTTTATCAAAAGATGTTTATGTGTCACGTAATACCAGTAAATCTGATAAGTAAAACGTAAATTTTGTCTCGTGGAGTCGGTCGTGGCTATAAGTTAGCTTGCCCAGACTGTGAATTTGATGATTCAGAGCTCGAAACTCATTTGGCCCAAAAAATGCGCTCTGCACTTTGGAGCTGTGGGTGTGCTTATGAGAATGATGGTGAAATACCACTACTTGGTCAAACCAAAGTAGCCAAAGAGCTGGTGGTGAATACTATTGGCTCTAGTTAGTCTATTAGTTGAAAATTATAGGCAGCTTTGCACAGATAGCTCTTTTAGACAAAATTCGAAATCAAATAAATAAACTTTCAAGCGTCTTGTAAGTAAAACGTGAGTCTTTCTGTCACATGATATTAGTCTTATAAGTAAAGCGTTGGTTTGTTACGTGATATCAGAGTCATAGAAGTAAATGTGTTTTTCTGCCACATGACACCATAGTCTTATAAATAAAACGTGAGTTTTCTATAATGTGATACCAGAAAGTACTAAAAGCAATATGCAGGTTTTACATCACGTGATATTATAAAAGTTTTATAATTAAAATATTTTTTCTATTACGTGATACCACACAACTTGATTCTTCGCATCAGGCAGTGCTTTCAAAGATATTATGTTACAAGTCTCCAGCTAATTTAACTTTTTCGAGGGGAAATAATAGCAGGAAAACTTAAGTATTTCACTTGCGGCGGCTGATATATATATACACAGCGTGGTCACAAGTAAATATACACCACCTTTTCAGAAAAAATTAAAATTTTCAGTCATATTCATATGAATTGATATATTTATAATTTAATTAATATCTAGTAGATCTTCCTTTCGCTTTGTGGTGTTCATTGATCCTTTGGGGCATCGTGAGAATCATCTCGTCAATTTTAGATTGTGGGATTTTCGCCCACTCTTGCTTCAAAACTTGAAGTAGATCGCTCCTCGAAGTTGGTTTTTTTTTGTTGTTTCTTGACTTGCCGGTCGAGTATGGCCCAGAGGTTTTCGATGGGGTTTATGTTAGGAGATTGGCTCGGCCAGGGCAACTTCTTCCTGCCACTTTTGGGTGTTTCTAGCAGTGTGACATGGTGCTCCATCTTCCTGCAACAACGTTGTGTTCTTGTCCACGAAACCCGAGGAATAAAGTGGCAAGAGTCTTTCCTCCAATATTTC